TGAAGAGCAGTGCGCTCGTCTCATCGAGTAGGCTACAAGTCAAATTATTTAATGTAGGTCTAACTGTTGGCCCATAAAGCATAGGCCTATACAGGGCTGGCGCAATCACATCTCTTACAGCACCCACGTTTCTTGTGTTGTGGGACAAAAAAATAATAATTCGCCAAATGCGCGAAAATAACTATATAGATATAAGCTAAAAAAAAAAAAAGCTACTGATTACTGCATTACATTCTTTTATATATTTATATTCTGAATTGTCACCTGCCACCTAAATTTTGTCCTTCCCTTTATAAAAATAAAGACATTTCCACCATAAATTGGTGCAGAAAATGTCTCCAGAGGTGAAAAGGTGCCATATGCACATTTAAAATCACTTTAGGCTACAACTCAAGTTGAGAACTATCGGCCAGTGTCTCTTCTACCATTTTTATCCAAAACTATCGAACGGGCAGTATTCAAACAGGTCACGGAATGACCTCCTAGATCCATATCAGTGGTTTTAAGAGTGCCCACTCTACTGAAACGGCTCTTTTGTCTGTAACAGAAGCCCTAAGGTCAGCTAAAGCTTATCCTGCTTGACCTACTAGCTGCCTTTGACACAGTCAACCACAGGATCCTGCTATCCACACTCTCAGCAACGGGCATCTCGGGTAAAGCACTCCTGTGGTTTGAATCCTACCTCTCGGGGCGTTCCTACAATGTTTTGTGGCAAGGACAATTATCCTCCTCCCACTGCCTCTCCACAGGGGTGCCCCAAGGCTCAGTACTAGGGCCCCTTCTCTTCTCACTTTACTCTTTCCCACCTCACTGGGGCTGATCATTCTCATGGCTTCTCTTACCACTGCTACGCAGACGATACTGAAGAGAAACAGAGAAACTTGGGTGTCAGGATTGATGACCAGCTGTCCTTTTCAGACCATGTTGCTGCTGTCTCTTAGTCATGCTTTGCTCTATACAACATAAGGAAAATCAGGCCCTGCCTCACTCAGTATGCCACCCAGCTTCTGGTACAGGCCATGGTTATCTCTCGCCTCGACTATTGCAATGCCCTCCTAGTGGGTCTTCCAGCTTGTGCGGTGAAACCCTTACAAATGGTTCAAAACAGCAGCCCGTCTGGTTTTTGATCAGCCCAAAAGGACTCATGTCACTCCATTACTCAGTGACCCCCACTGGTACCCCGTGGACCCCCACTGGTACCCCGTGGCCTCCAGAATCAGAATCAAGTCACTAATGCTTGCATACAGAGTGACCACTGGGTGTGCACCCATCTACCTAAACTCCGTAATACAAACTTACGTTCCTTCTCGGCCACTACACTTCAACGAACGCTGCCTGGCTCTGCCATCACTTCACACAAAGCAATCCCAGTCCCGGCTATTCTCATCTGTGACACCACGATGGTGGAACGAGCTAACACACGCCATCAGAGCAGGGGCGTCCCTCTCTAACTTAAAGAAGCTCTTGAAAACTAATCTCTTCCGAGAACACTTCCTCTTATAACACCTCTAACTCATAACCTCTAACATGCACTTCCTGTGCTCTTCTTCTTCTATCCCCCTACAATTATCTTGTATCAATTGCACTTTTTTTGTAAACTCCCTAGGTATATACCACATTGAGTTGAAATGAACTATGAGCTCTTACTAGTATTTATTGCTGCTCTTACTAGTATGTATTGTCAGTTGTTGATCTGTATTTGGTGCTCCATTTGATGCTTGTATGTTGTTCCTCAAATGTAAGTCGCTTTGGATAAAAGCGTCTGCCAAATGAGTAAATGCAAATGTACTTCAGGCATGCCTGCATGTATGTAGATTCAGCTGGGATTAAATTAAATGAGAAAAGTTGATCTATAGGAAAAACATATCTGACAGCCTTACTGCATTATCTTACACAATATTCTTCTTATTTTGAATTGTCACCTGAGACATTTCCTCAATAAATTGGTGCAAAGAAATTCACCACAATGCAGAAAATTAAGTGTTTAAAGCCAAACTTCTTCAGGGGGAGGACCCCCAGAACCCCCCAATTTAATATTATCAGTGTTAATTATTATCAGTAGTAATTATAAAATTCATAATAAATGTAGGCTATATATATAATTTACTGTTGCTTTAAAGACATACTTTGGGTAGGCAACAATGGGGGATGGGGGGGTTAAAACATGAAAGATTTCTGTCCTGGGATAAGCCCCCAGTGTTTCAAGAGCCTGGAAACGCCCCTGTCCTGGATCCTTCTCCTGTCCGCCAGAAGTACCGGGTCCAAGAGACGATGCTCCCAGGTGTAAGGCAGGAGCTGGAGGTAATGAAGTCAGTGGGGGTCATTGAAAATTAACAGTGATATGAGATGTCCTGTGGTGCTGGTGCTTAAGAAGGATGGCACTATAAGATTTCTTTATTGACTTTCATAACCTTAGCCCTCAGTCAAAGTTTGTGTGATGTTTATCCAACTCTCAGGCTGAATGATCTCACTGAGCATGTTGTCCAGGCCCAAAAGATCAGCACTCTAGACTTATGCAAGGGGTAGCTGCAGATGCCCATTGCTCCCTTTAGAAGTCTGTGTTTTTTAAGTTTACCGTTTATGCATTTCTGGTGCTCCAGCCACTTTTCAGCGGTAGTGGGAGACTACAGCCAGCAGGGTTGTTCAACCTAAAAAGTGCTCCCTGGCCCAACGAGAAGCCAAGTATCTGGGCTATTTGCTGGGTCATGGAGTGATATAGCTCCATCAAGAGAAGATGCACGGAGTAGGACTTTCCTTGTCCTTGTACCAAGAAAGTAAAGATAATAAAGTCCTTCCATGGCTTAGCTGGGTGGTACCAGCGATTCGTCTCCCACTTTGTCACGTGAGCAGCCCCTTTAATTGACCTGAACAAGAAGTCCAGCTTTAATCAACTGCCATGGGAAGAAAAGCATGAACAAGCATTCCTTGACCTGAGGGGGCACTCATCATCCAGTACTTCATTGGCCAGATGTTGGCAGCAGTTTGCTGTGAGGATGTATTTTGTAAGTTTTTTTCCAGCTTATTTGCTCCTCATTTTTCTGTGACTTTTATTTTTCCTACTCTGTTTTATTGTAACTTTTACTCACCTCCAGTGCCATCTAGCCACATTAAAACACCTCATCTATGCTACACCCACTGTCACAGCAAAACGCTTGCCACACACTCCTGACCTTCTGCATCTATGCTCTATGTTTAGGCCACTCATCCAGCATGGTTGACTTAACTCCAGAATCCCTCTTTTATTTGGTTTCTTGCAGTGCTCTGAATTTGCCTCAGCTTCATCTGCCTATAATCTTTATCTCCATCCCAGTCTATCCAACATCACCTTGGATTAAACCATTCAAGTCTTCAGTTGCTGGTCATCTCAGGCATATCTCTCCTACATTTGCAACAATCTTTACGATCTCCATCAAACTCATGCTCACCTCAACTCCATTTAAATCTGTTGACTCTTTTGGGGGCCCGTAATTGGCTTGGATGCCTCAACTCCCAAAACGGATCCACCACACTGAGGGGCGAATTCACAAAAGGATTGCGCAGCTTCTGCGACTGCTAAACCTGCACAAATAAGACAAAAAGAAACTGTGTAATTCTCAAAGCACCCGCAAATGGTGAAATGCACCCCTAACTGCACTGCCAAACAAATAGCGTTTCGGTGCTCCAATGCTATTTGCATGAATTTAAATTAGGTAAAATGCATTTTGCTAATTGGCCCCTTTCTATGCAGATGAGCCATATTGCAAAGAAGTCCAGTCACAAACACCAGCGTTAATAACCACATGCTTTTATAGTAAAATTTATATATATAAAACATTTAGGGGTGTCACATCCAGACTTTCCAGAGATCATGACAGTGGTGGTTGTAGCCAGGCAAAGCAATAGCACATCACAGTACATCATATGCGCATAGACAGTACAATACCTGATATTCACCACAAGGGAATGACACTGGAAAACAACAGCAAACCTACTGCTGTGAGAAGCGGAGATGATGGTTACACACTGTACCAGTCCAGCAGAAAACATAGTAGAAAGAATTGTGCACTCCCCCTCATGGGCCCAGATGCATGAGCTGGAGTGCACAGTTAAAGCTTGCTCAATATGTTACTTGAGCACACTTTAAGAACGAATATTCCTGGGAGCACTACAGAAAAGTGTGGATGAACATTTAACAGATGCAAAACCAGGGCAAATTATGCTCAGCTGCAAAACTTCATGGGCGTGTTTGCACTGTAATATCACTAGCGTAATATCTTTTGGAAATTGGACCTTGAGACCGGGCGGATAGCGGTTGCAAGTGATGCAAATCATGGTGCTATCAGCGACCGCAATCCATTCTTTGTGAATTCACCCCTGAGTCTTCTCCTCCCAAGCCTTCAATATATCTGTCTCAGGCCAGCCTAAAGAGACAACTTCCTCCCCCAGGTCTGCCTCTTCCTCACATACTCTCCATCCTGTACTCACTCGTTTCATTATACTTTTAATATCACATTGTTGCGGTGTAGTCCTTGCTAATGAATGATACAATAAAATTCCTATACAATTCAATAACAAACATCTGAATGTATAACTACATGACTGATCCCTCTTTTACACAATCCCAGTCATAATATAATTGAATTGACAGTAGTTCAACAGCGATCACAATTGTGGCAAAACAGAAGCCAACCGCAGTGTGCTTTTATTTGACATATTTTTCACAGTACTTTCATTACAACTCATTAGGGACATATAGTTTGGAGGTAGTTGCGAGCAGTAGTGCGGAGTGGACTGTCTTCTTTAATTCAATCTAACTAAATTAGCCAACTATAAAAAAGCATGCATGAATCATAAAGGACCTTCAGTTTGAACACACTTCGCTCTGTAGGCCGAGAGTTACAAAGCCAGTGTAGCCTTGTTAAAATTACATATCATTATCTATAGGTCATTATATCCCATCTTGTACATAAAACATATTAATAATGAATCTCCTTGTGTGTCAGTGACAGTTTATATCTTACCTGTCACTGTATGCAGCAGCTGTGGCAGCAGTAGGCTGGGCATATCTGTAGGTAGCGTAACCACCCTAGAAACACACACACACACACACACACACACACACACACACACACACACACATACCAGAATTACAACAAAAATATGTAACTTAAAATGTCACACATTGCTTTTTTTATTTCTAATAGACTATGAGAGCATGAATCCCAAATGCATAGAGTTTGTTATTACATTTAAGTCTTTTGTGAGTCTTTTTACAATAAGCAGCCATTTATTTTCATTCTGGAATTCAGGAGTTCTACCTGGCTAGGTAAATGTTAAAATCCAGGTTTGTTATTTCAAATGTATTTAGTTCCAGTTTTATTTATGTGGCGCCAATTCATAACAAAAGTCATCTCTTTGCACTTTTTATATAAAGCAGGGAAGAGATCCAACAATTCCCAATTTAGTTTATGTCAACTGCTTTATTGAACATTATACACTGTACTCACAGTCAACATGAGCAAGAGGAAAAAAGACATTTTCTAAAAAAGATTAAGTTGAAACTGTAAACTTAAAACTAGACAGTGCAATTTCTGGAGAAATTGGGGTGTGAATGCTGGCTGTTGAAGGCTGATGCTACACTGGATTTCTAAACTTCATGCAAGCTCTCATTTCAGCCTCTTAAACATGCAGTAGATGCTCCTGTCTCTTTAAGCCCCCCCTCCAAAAGCCCACTGTGTTCTGATTGGCCAAGATCCTGAAGCAGGATGATTATGCCACTCAGCGGTAGAGACAAACTAAGCATAGGAGTTGCCAGTTGTTATTGAGGCTGCAGGCAAATTACCATATATGGAAAACCATCATTATGACATCATTAAGAGCTAAGAGTAGAGCTCTGGCCACATTTAAGATGAACATCTGACACTGAAACATTATAGATAAGACAGAAAATATAAGAAGCCTAATAAGTCTCCTTTAATGTGTGTGTGTGTGTGTGTGTGTGTGTGTGCCTGCTGTGATAGACAGTTATGCATACATGTGATCTCCCATTCAGTAAAGTTTAAAGGTCCATGCTTTGAGGGCTCTGTGTGTGTGTGTGTGTGTGTGTGTGTGTATTGTGTCTGTCAGTCAGCTCTTCCGCAAGTTAAAAAACTGGTACGTTCTGCCCTACTCCAGAAACAGAGACAACAAAGAAGGAAAAGTACCGCCAAAACAGGACGAGAAAAGGGAAGCAGACAACACAGGAGAACGGGGAGACAAGTGTTGCGTCGTTCAAAGAATGTTTCGTTCATTTGACCTAATCTTGTATATGACTCAGGAGGAACTCATTCATTTTCACCCATATGTGAATAGTCAATTCAATTCAAATGAGCTTTATTGGCATGAATGTATAACAACAATATTGCCAAAGAATCATACAAAATACATAAGAACAATCCAATCCCATACAACAAGTACTTAAAGCGTAAAGTAATTAAAGCGTATGTGTGTTTGTGTGTGTATTGGAAAAAGAAAAATATATATAAAATTAAAATAAAATAAGTAAATAAAACAGTAAGTGTGTGTGTGTGTGTGTGTGTGTGTGTGTGTGTGTGTCTGTCTCTGTGTGTTAAATTTTTTAAAAATATATTAAAAACAAAATAAATAAATAAAACATTAAGCGTGTGTGTGTTAAAAAATAAAAATATATTAAAGATTAAAATAAAATTAATTAATAAAACAGTAAGCGAGTGTGTATGTGTGATAAAAAATTTTAAAATATATAAAAAATTAAAATAAGATAAATAAATAAAAAATATTTAAAAAATAAAATAATAATAATAATAAATAAAAAGAAATCAGTATCAAATGTAAAAACAAAACAATTATCACTTCCCAGCCCTGGGAGAAGAACGCTGTTTGCTTGTTTCCAATCTTTATGGCACATTCACTTTTTGTATACATGTTCTTAATCAAATAATATGTTTTTCCTCCAATGCCACTTTCAAGTAGCCTATAGAAAAGGCCCTTGTGCCAGATGGAATCAAAGGCTTTTTGGAAGTCAACAAAACAGGCATATACCTTTCTTTTCTTAATGTTTAATTCTTGATCAATTAGAGTCTGGAGAGTAAATATATGGTCCCTTGTGCGGCAATTTGGCAAAAAAACAATTTGGCATTTATGCAGAATATTGTGGTCATCAAGAAAGTTGACAAGTCGTTTCTTAATGATGTTGCAGAATATTTTTCCCTCTGTAGTTATTTGAGTCATATTTATCTCCGGATTTATGAATTGGGGTTATTAAACCTTTGATCCAGATGTCTGGAAAAGTTCCAGTTGCTAGAATATTATTGGATATTGGATAGTTTTAGTATATCCAATCTGATTTAATGGTCTGAGTATTTGATCATTTCATTAAGGATTCCATCAATACCACAAGCCTTTTTTCCTTTCAGGGACTGGATGACTTCTGTTCATTCTTGTTCTGTTACCGGGTAATCTAGAGGGTTTTGGTTGTTTTTTTATCACCACCTCCAGAGTTTTCCATTATGTGAATATCTTGTACTGATCATAATTTTTTGTAATATTACTGTATAATTTACTAAAGTGATTAATCCAAGTATTTCCATCTTGGATTGCCAATTCATCATTGTTCTTTCTTAGTTTTTAAGGTGTACTTGTATTGTTTCAAAGTGGCTTCATATTGACAACGTCTGTTGTGATTATCTGGGTCCCTGTGCTTTTCATTTGCTAATTTCCTTAAAGTTGTCCTTAGGTTTTTTGCATTCAGTGTCAAACCATTTGTTACTGTTCATTTGTTGAAGTTTTGGTTTGGAGGCTTTCAAATTAGACAATAAAGCCAAATGATGAAATATTGAATTGATTTTGTCCACAGCAGAATTTACACATTATACATTATTCTGGGGAAATGTTTCAGTTAGAAATGTTTCAGTTAGAAATAAAAGAGTTAAATCATGTATGTTTTGATTTTCAAGTGCCTTTTGGTATGCCCCCATGCTGTCTGGGGTCCATCTGTATGAGTATGTGCTGTAAACAGTTCACAGGCATTAGGGGCTCCAGACTTAGACTGAGCCCTTTTCAGATAGATAGTGATTTTGCTGTGTTCTGAGAGGGGTGTGAGGGGGCTGACTGTGAAAGCTCTGAGACATTGGATCTAGATCTGTAATGAAATAATCTACTGTACTACTGCCAAGAGCTGAGCTGTAAGTGTAGTGACCCACAGAGTCCCCTCGTAGCCTGCCGTTGACGTTGTACAGACCCAGCGTACGGCAGAGCTGTAGAAGCTGCATACCACTTGTACTAGCAGGACATTCAGGGAGGGAGAAGCAGGTGCTTCCAGGTAAGTGTTTGTCTCCCTGGGTGTTCATAGTGTCAGCTCTTTCCCCTGTTCGAGCGTTCAAGTCTCCACAGAGTAATACATTTCCCATGGTTTTATAATGGTTAACTTCCTCCTCAAGAATAGAGAAAATATCTGTGTTGTAGTAGGGGGACTCTGAAGGAGGTGGCAGGTGGCACACATGTAGACATGTTGCTCAGCACAAATCATCTGTTTGTTAATTTTCAACCATATATAAGATTCTTCTTTTTTTAATAACTGTGATGGACTGGCTCAGTTCTGATTTACACCGATTTACACCATATAATCATGCCTCCTGAATCTCTGCCTTGGATTATTGTGGGATTTTTTGTTGATGGTATAACAATCTCAGTGTAGCCACGAGGACGACCAGTGGAAACATCTTCTCTGCACCATGTCTCCTGTAAAACTATGATGTCAGAGTCTTTTACTCTCTATTAAAATCTGAATTTCTGCTCTTTAAACCAAAAGCTGATGATCTCAGACCTTGAGTGTTCCAACATGTTATTGTAAATGATTTCATCTCCAAGTGTAATCTGTTCAAAAATTCGACAAATAATACTAGTAATAAACGAAAAGGGAAAAAAAGTGTAAAAGTGTAAAAAGACTCCTCAGAGAGTCTGCCAGTCTGTCCTGCTGGGACCTTAAGTTATTGGTGCCTGTATGAATGATGATGTGGCTAGGTGAGCCTAGTTCAGGCACTATTAACAGCTCCAGGGCTCTCCTGGTGTTGGGGCACCAGATCTCCTCCGTTCTGTGCCTTGGGAATAAGGTCTTTTCATCCAGCAACTTTCCATTAGAGTCCATGAGGAAGATAATGTCAGCCCTTCTGCCTGTGTGTGTTTGTTTCTTTTTCCTCTTTTTTTCTCTTCTGGTGTATTGTGGTCACTTCTTTTGCATTTTCCTCATAAAAGGTTGGTGTTTATCCAATTTTTGGACCAAAAACAAACATTTTGTTTAGCAGCAAGCCTTAAACATGACTTGTCACCAACAACTGAATTCTCTCTCTCTCTTGGACTCTTACATTCACTCATCACATGGCAGCTGCATGGGCTCCATCAGCACAGGAAACAATTGTTTAGTTCGCAACTGTGGGTCTTGGATTTGAGTCATTCATTTGTACGTGACAGCTTGGCCACTGTGGAGCAGACATGAACTTATTTATTCACCACTCACATGGGGGCTTGGAGGTTGAGTTACTGCCAGCGCCAGAGAATGAGAGGCAAGTCGGCTGTCAGGTAACAGTCACTGGACTGACATTATATATCTATTTTGTTAATTATGTGACATTTTATAAAGCATAATGTTATTACAGTGCAGTGATGCTATAGTTTTAACACAGCTGTACCGTAACTTTAGTGCTGCTAGTTATTACAGCTAACAGCTGATGAGAGTTGTCCTGGGTCCACTCCACTTCAGTGCCTGGCACCTGGCACAAGTACCTGGCAGGGTTCTACCGTGACCTGAACTTCAAGGTAGTCTCCTCTCCAAAACAAACGGACCCAATCATTAAAACATTAAAACACAGCCACATAGCAACGTTAGCGTTAGCCCTGTGGTGTGTTTACAGCTAACAGCTGATCTGGGTCCACCAGAGAATGCAACAGTCCAGTCCAGTGCTGGACTGGTGAACAACCTGACAGTGTTTGAGAGCGATGTGCTCATGTCTCTGTCTGCAGAATCCGGACCTGATGTGACCCATTCTGCGTCCAGACCTGCCAAACTGTGTT